TGGGCATCAGTACCAGCGCCACAAGCAGCCACGTGGGCCAAGACTGGACCGGGCCCGGGCCTGGTCATCTCTACTCACCAAACTCAAACATGTAGTCCCAGCACTGGCAGAAGGTGCGCCAGGGCTTGGGGAAGAGGCGGTGCAGCCAGCGTGGCATCGCCATGGTGAGCAGCGTCATGACGAACATGGTGTTGATGGCCTGGATGAAGCGCTCCGTCTCCGGGGGAACCTGGGGCTCCAGGCAGCCGATCCGGGACTCGAACAGCACCGAGGAGATGCCTGTGGAGAAACGTCAGCTCCTGATCCCTTGGCACATTCCGGCAGGGCGGGGCCGGGCAGGACCGGTGGTCTAATGGGCCAGCAGTAATTTACTCGGCCGGCTGAAACAATTCGGGATCAGATGGGACTGGAGCTCTGGAAACGGGGCGGGATCAGCTCTCAGTGCAGCCAGAGGGGGCAGGTCAGGACGCACCCCTCTTTGAACCCTGCACTACAGACACTCCTTGTGCCTTTGACCCCTACTGAGGGGGGTCTGCAGGGCAGGAGCCTCTGGCGGGGCTGAAGGAGCCAGTGCCAAGCAGGCCTGTAGAGTAGGAGAATGTCTCTCGCACAATTCAGTGCTGGTGCGCTTCGTGGTGGACTGTCTCACTGTGCTTGCAATCCTCAGCAGCACTGACACTCTGCCTTGACTGTGCTGTGCCAGGCCTCCCTCTTTAGTCACATGACGCAGGCCCAGTAAAAAGATGCACCCCTCCTTGCTCACAGCTCTAGGAAGATACTGTTCCCTTTCAAAAAAAGTGCAGCTCTTCACACCCCCCACCCCTACCACGGCCCATTTTATACCGGTGCTCACCCTCCAGCCCGAAGCGGTAGAACTCGCTGGCCACATCCTTGACGACGCCCTGGGCGTTCTGCCGGCGGCTGAACTGCAGCTTGGCGATGAGGTCCGTCACCACGCTGTTCAGCGTGTCGCTGTACGCCTCCACCGCGCGCGGGCGCAGCATGTGCTTGCCCAGCAGGCTGCGGATTGCCTGCCACTCCTCCCCCTCCCTGTGCGGGCAGACGGACAGAGGGTCAGGGGTCAGGGGTCAGGGGTCAGAGTGAGCAGAATGTAAAAGCAGCTGCCGGGGAGTCTGAGCTCCAGTCCCCCGAGTGCCTCTGGTTTTCATTCCTCAGGAGCATAACTAAACTAATTATGCATTTGAATGGGACCAATTAGCCCTCTTCCCAGGAGTGAAGGAGCTGGTGTAAGGAGACTGAGAAGTCCCACTTGCCTGTAGCTGTGGAAGACGGGGCATGTTATTGGTTAACGGGCTACTCAGGAAAGGGAAAAGGGGAACAGGTGCGTTTGGAAGTGAAAACTGCAACCCAGGTGTGCTGGTGAAACCCATTCTATGGGATCCTTGCGGACACAGCTGGGGGTTCGGCAGTCGATGTGCTACGGAGCAGCTAAAACAAGCATGTCACTCTGATGCTCTTCACTACCAACACAACTACGAGAGAATGGCCCAGAGTGCATTCTGGCACCTGACAGGTTTACCGCCTTCCTGCGCCTTCACTTCCTGCAGCTTGACGTCCCCTAACCCCCCCCCAGGCCTCGGCCGTGTCAAACACCACGCGTGAGGGAAAGACTGAGTGACATAAGCGCCGCGGAGCGTCTCCGCCACCGCAGTCCTGACTCACGTCCTGTGCACTGCTTGGCCAACCCCCCCAGGCAGAGAGCGGCTCTGCTGAGTCACCATCCTGCTCTCTCTTACTCATCTCGTTCCCTCTTCGCCATCATGACTTTCTCTTCCTTCTCCGCTGCTGTTGTGAAAATCCTACCCAGAATCAGAGGAAATCACCTATTTTCTGAAGGCAGATTACTGTAACGGACAGGAAAGGCAGGGGCGCTGACGTAATCAGATTGGGACAGCAGCATTACCACCAAGTAGCCTGATCTCATCATCAGAAGCTCAACAGGGCTGGTCCTGGTCAGCACTGGGATGGGAGACCTCCAGTGCTACCCAGGTTGCTACTGTTAGTGGTGTTGGGGGACCAGTAGGGGGTGCTCTTCTCCCTGGACCAGAGTTTCCAAACCACAAAGGACACTGGGCTGTGGGTTTAAACTGAGGCCCGGACCGTTCAGCCAGTAAAGATCCCAGGGCTGTTTGGTCTGGCTGAATCCCACTCCAGTGCACTCTGGCACAGCTGCAATTCTGCATTGGAATAGGTGGGTCCAGTCCTACGTGTAAAAAACTTTGGAGTCCTTTGGGATTAAAACTGCTATGTATCTGAATAAGATAGATAGATAGATAGCTCAGGTGGGTAGCTGCGTCAGCATGCGTAGGCTGCAAAGGAACAAGTAATAGGATTATTCCATGCTGAAGAAGGCTCCACGGGCAAAACGTTGCGTTTTCTATCTTCTTTTTATCAGCATGGAATAAACCTATTACTTGTTCCTAGAAAGATAGATACTTTATTGTATCTTATTATTAATAAGATACATATAATAATATTATTCTTATTGTACCTTATTATTAATGATTTCCTGCCGACGCTCAGGAGAGCAGAGGACAGAATCTGAGAGAGCGAGCGGGGGGGTCGGACTCACGCAGTCAGCAGTCCGTAGGCGTGTCCGCGCAGCTGTCGGTAGTCCTTCCAGGAAGAGAGGTCGGACCGGATCGGGTGCTGCCCCTCCTGCCGCAGGACCTGTTCGATCAGCGCGGGCTCGGCCACGTGGACCGTCAGGATCGGTCCGAAACTGGCCTTCCACACGGGACCGTAGCGAGCGCGGCCTTCCACCTGCAGCCAGAGGAGTTACTGATCAGCCCTCCAAAAAACACAAACTGCGGAAGACCAACAGCTGTCCGGCAGCCCACGCTGCAGAGCGCGCGCGGTCACTCAGCTCTGAACAACAAACACTCCATCTGGCCCACCACCTGCACCCTGAAGCAGGGCAGGACACTCCATCCAGCAGCAGGAGCACCTGCTTGGACTGACTGGATCAACACACAAGCACTTTGTGGACCTTCAAAGCTCTGGGCAGAGCACACTGGCAATAATTAAGGATAACTAATAATTAGGGATAAGCTGGATCACAGACACAGTGAAAGCTGCTAGACTCGGCAGATCCAGCTCTCTACTGAGCTGGCACTCGGCTGGCACGTGCCCAGGGGTGGCCTGTCCCTTGGCAGCAGGTGGGATCTGGTACGCAGCCCAGGAGCATCACCACAGCATGACTCACCCTGACCTGTTTTAACCATTTATTCGCTTGGGTGACGCCTTTATCACAGGCGACCTCGAAAAGGTTACAATTATCAAATCGCAGCACGTAATGTAAATATGTGTATCTATTGTCTGTATACACACCAGGTGTGACAGTGGATGACACTATATTACATCAGCATGTGGAGGTGAGGTGTGTAGGCTGCTGATGTCATTGTCACGAATCATGATGTCATGAAGCTGCACTGCCAGTCCTGCACACACGGCCTCTCACACACACCCTGTGCACGCTCACACTGCACGTGCACCACCCTGCTCACACTCACACCACACACAGCCTCTCACACCCTGTTCACACTCAGACTGCACATGCACCCTGCTCACACTCACACTGTGCACACAGCCTCTCCCACACAGCGCACACTTACACAACGCACACACTCACACTGTGCACACACTCACACTGTGCACACAGCCTCTCCCACACAGCGCACACTCACACAGCGCACACACTCACACTGCGCACACACTCACACTGCGCACACACTCACACTGTGCACACAGCTTCTCCCACACAGCGCACACTCACACAGCGCAGACACTCACACTGTGCACACA